CCTTCACTTCCCAAAGTTCCAGTATCTTATGACTTCTTCCCCACACAAATTTAATAATTATCGAGTCCCATCTTTTGACCGAGAGGTCTAACGACACCTCTTCTTCCTGGCACTCTGCACACCTCGACCTCCTCTTATCAGACACACAGTACCACTTACATCGACAATCTACACACTCTGCTAATACCTATGCTTGGTGAGAGTTCCCCTTACCGGGGGCAGGAACACAAAGAAAGCAGGGGATTCTCCCATGGACCTGGGGGGTATAATCGGCTGGTTGTTCCCAGTCTAATGCTACCAGCTGCCCAGAAGACATTGTGTACAGTCCTTCTAGCAGGTATAAATCATTTCCCCGTGCCAACCATTCATTCCTTCTACACAAATAATCACTAGATTCCAACCCAAACCAATGGAGATCTCCGGTTCATGCAATGTTTTCACAAAACAGACAAAGACAGTGCATTATTTAAACAGATAGAAACTTCTCATTTGTTTTGCAGCGGTTGTTCTCACTCACGCCCTGCAGGCACACAGACACACAGGGACACAGACACTCATCACACTTAAAGGGCCCGTCACGCTTTCCACTCACACCGTGAAATACACCAGAGTTAAAACAGTCATCAAGTCCGTGTGTAACATATATCATAAGCCATTAACAATTTGCCGTAAGTTCAGAATCTAACAGAACACCACAAGTTTCAGCAGGTTGCAACAAATATCAATCCCGAGGTGGTCAATGACACTCCTGTGAACCTCGAGAACCAAAACCAAATGGGTACCCTCTCCTTGGGACCACGCTGTGCGCCAGACGTCTCTGAGCATCTTACTAGCAGCCCGTTACCCTTTAAACATACCATTGTCCGCGATTTAGATGGTCCTTGTCTACTCCCGCAGTGGACAGCTGGGAGCAGAGTTCCCTCAAGAAAAGCTCGGGGTGTGCACCTAGGATGTCCACCTGGCAGCTATCCTAGCAGCTGAGTAGAGAATGTCCCATCTGGGATGCCAACATGACTTGCGGAAACACGACTCTACAACCGTGGAGTTGTAAAGTAGGTAGGTTTATTCAGCGCTGGGCGCATGGGGGATCACTCCTCCACAAGCATACGCATCCTTTGCAGCTCTCGTCCTGCTTATATATTACAACATAATGCATATTCATAGAATGCTTATACATATACATAATATATCACTGCCTCCCCTCGCTTCTCATGGTAATCAGGTCTCCTCCTCTTGTGTCTGCACGTTTAGCTCCTTTGATGGTCACAAATTCCTGGGCGGGGGTCTTATAGATGAAGTATCTCCTCTTCCTCGCTGATGAACTTTTTACCCTGTCCTTCTGCTCAGCCTCAGTTGTTCCCTGGCACCTGGCTAAACTGCCAGGCTAGTTTGTGCTAGAACTTGAGGTGATCTATTGCTGACATGTACCACTTCAAGGACACTATGAAGCTTCTGTCTGAGCCAGAAGATAATATCTTAGCAACACTATCAGCACCTGGTATGTCTTCGCGCATAGCCCCCTCATCTTGGCGCAAGCTCCTCAGTCTTGTGACATCTAACTAAAATTGTTTAAATTCCCTATCTAAAATAGATTTCAGAACTTGGTGAGAGCAAGGTAAGGATTTCTTTTTATATGTTCTTATCAAAACAGCTGAAGCCTTTTTATTTCTTTCAGAGGCAGTACTACTAGGATTGATATTGAAGTTCAACTTTTAACTTTTCTTAAGTTTTGAGTAGGGCTGTAGTAACTGCCATTGAAATAGGGTATAAAAGATACTTCAATTCAAGACCTTGAAATCTTCGGGGCACTGGATAGATGTGTGAAGTGGCTCTATCCGCTGATGTGTAGCAGTTAACAAAGCTGAAACAGCGTATTGTGGGGTGAGACAGATGGTCAGTGGCACTAATCTTGCCCCAAACAGCCTGCAGCACCCAGTCTAGTTTGAAATGATTACCCTAGATTTGCCCTTTGTATAGCTCTTTGATTGTGTTAATTTATGTGTGTCTGCTGTTAGGAAGACTAATAATGGGTCTTAATTTCTGTGAATTAATGAAAGGACTGCTATATTACTCCTTTTTTTTTTTTTTTTTCCTTTTTTTTTTTTTTTTAGTTGCAAGCACTCATTTCAGAAAAACAGTAGCAGTCTATTAGACTAACAATTCATCAGGGAATGAGAATACATTGTTTACGGAGGCTGTTGTAGTCTTTCTAAAAAACTTGTATGCTGCCTGAACTTGCACATATATCAATGTGTATCATATCTTCTAAAGTAAACTCTTTCTCTTCTACCCACAGAGTCTCCCCCATTCAGCAGTAGCAAAAGTTGGCGGCAAAATATTTATATTTGGATCTTACTGGCTCGGAGTACACACTAAAGGTAGAACTTTCATTGTCTGGTGATAGTTCTAATGTTTGAAAGTGACCTCCAGCAATAACAGAAGACATGGAATCTCTTTGCAGGTGCTGACAAAGATGCTGTTTCTGTTGCTCCTAGGCATGTAGAAAGATCAGATTCCTTTCAGACATTCTTTGAAAAACTAAAACATCAGGAAGAAATAAAAAATCTTGAGTGACTGAGCTCTCTCATTGATAATTGTGCAACTTTTACAAAAAGAATATTCATGTTAAAGACTCATATTGGTAGTTGATGTCTTACAAGCCAAAATTTAGAAGCTGTTGTTTCTGAGCACCTTCTGAAATACTGTTTCCTGCAGCGTGAGAAGTCAAGGTTCCTTTCCTCGGTGACTGTACGTCACATAAGGATCTTTGTGGTACACTTCTTCCCTGCCCCTGGTGTGAGAATGAGTCAACTATATCAGAAAGCAAGGTTGTCCCTAGGAGCCTTGCTTTAATCTTAGGTCTAGTAAGGGGCAGGAAGAGGAAGGGGCAGCCTGAAAACTAAGGAAGTTGAAGGTGATGTGGAAAGGCTTCTGTCAGTGCCTTTGCCATGGTATCCCTCTGGATGTACTTTAGAACCTCTAATTCCTTCTCCTCTGGTCATGTTCCTCTGGCCACTCAGCCCAAGAGGTTGTGGAAGGGCCGCACGCTGTCAGATTGACATTGAATGTGTAGGGGCTGAGCTGTGAACGTACAAACTGCTTTGTAAAATCACCCTCAGGTGCATCTGTTGCACACCTTGTGTGTGAAACAACTCCTGAGAAGTGTTTCTCTTAGCCTGGTCTTCCTCGTGCAGGCAGTTTGAAAGACTTCATGTGCACAGCAAATGAGCCTTTGCTGAAATGACTTGTCACCTGAGAACAGACTCTCAGTCGGCTGCGGCACAGTTCTGACAAGGGGTCTGCAGCATTGAAAACTGTCCCATAAGGTACCTGACAGCACCTCAGTCACAGTAGAAAAACAAAATAAGGAAGGCTAGGGCATGCTGTCAAATGTGGACAGAACTTTTTAGATTTCTCTGGATGTTAACCAGTAGTAAGATAGCTACAGAAATCTCTTTTCTTCCTCGCTGCCAAGGGAAGCACCTTACCAGCAGTGGCACTGGTGGCTCCTTGTGCACTGCTGGTTCATTACAGCACAGGATCAGCCTCTGAATCTCTTGGCTAAGTCACTTTTTAAAGCCATTATTAGACTGGTCATACTGCTTGCAGCTTACTAACTTTTTT